AGTTGAAAAGCATAAAGCTACTTTCAATCAGAATTAGGATTTAATCTTGACTATTGATATGATATGTGAATGTACACAGGCATTAAACCCCAGAAACATTGATGGCTTCGATTTACTCTAGGAGGATACTTGATCTAGTTAATGAACGGCCACAGAAAAACAATTGTCCAGATTTTCTGACGGTTCGCTGGTACAGTATCTTTCTCTAGTTTGGCTACAGAGGACTCTGCTTTCCTTGACGTTGAACTTGGGTCAGCTAGATGTACTTTGTCCCCTTATAAACAGAGTGCTGGTGAGATGATCTGCAATGTGTATTCCCCATTAAGATTCTCTGTTAAACCGTTGATCACCATGATATATTCGATAGCAACAACGCAACCATTATCCATCTACAAATAGAGCTGCCGGGATTTTTTCATGTGGACCAATAGAGGATTTTTCCGCAAAGCCATATGAGTAACGGTTCAGAGCAGACCAAAGACAAATTGCTTGCATATATCGTTGTGCTTTCGCATCCCATGACAGTTGCCCAGTTTGTAAAAACCGTGACCGTTAAAGACTACTGACCCCTCCTACCCTCTAGCCCGCAATGAGCTGAAGGGATGAGCGGACAGATGGATGAGTGAATCAGTGAACGAATAAATTAATCAGCAAATCAAAAATAAATGAACGAACGAATGGAGAAAAAATTTTTTCATATGTTCTGATTTCTGGCTCCAGCTCGGTAACATCACGACCACAATTCATAATATTTCGAACGGAGTTGATGAAGGCTTTTCATCATACGGTTCACCCCTTTGAGCTTTGAATGAAATTGATGCTCAGGAAGAATGTAAGATGTGAATGATATTACAAATGGAAAGGAAATATAATGGTTATTGCTGTTTGCATTGGGAGTGCTAGGAAAGTTTGATAGTTTGATTTCCTGACCCAGACTTGCATGTACTTCTGAACCGAAGATATATTTTTCATTATCAATTATTGGCACAATCGCTCATTCACTGACGCTACGTAGACACTCCGAAATGTAATTTTCTTATTGAAGCATCCATAAACAGCCAGCACCTACATATATATAGTGTACAACAGACCCTTATAACTCAAAATTGATAAATTTCTGAAGGGGAGCAAGAGCGACCAAAGTATAAAATCATATGGCAGAAGGAATCACAGTAAAGCATGACTTCTGAGCTGCCAAGCCATTATGAATATTATGAATATTCGATTACTCAGACAGTTACTATCAAGGCTGAAAGAATTTTTTCCCTTTTATAACAGTTCTGCCTATAACTAGGAAACTGATCATAAATCAAAGCGACTGTAATGGGAGTTCTTCCCCATGTCAATTCCAGAAGAAACGTTGGCGAATGTTTCCTTCCATCATGCTATCGATCCTCCGCAGAGAAGATGACGACTCACGGCCAGGTTGGATGTATGCCACGGGTGTAGGCCATCATGAGTCTGATGAACGATATCATGCTATGAACAGAAAATGACACCCGTCTATCGAATGGATGATCAGAATAAAATTGTCTTCATATTGTCATTCATCGGAACGATAAAAGAAATATATCTGTTCCTATATTTCACTGTCACAGTCTGTCACTCTACGTCCTCTTTATACAACATCCAATACCAAATCGATTTTCTGATGGCCTTAAGATCACGTGCATGTAATCCAGTAAAGACCATCGCTGCTGTGCTAGAGTGAAACAGAAACATAAATAGAAGAAATCAGGTATTGCACTTCATCGTTTTCGATAGTGAACTGATGTTTTCCTTTTTGTCCACAAGTCCATAGTCTTTCCAGAAAGAGTGGTTTTACCAAAATTCATTTTCCAGAGCATCATGTGTACACTCGAAATAATTTTAATAGCATAACTCAGCTATGCTCAATGTTCAATCACTGGACAGTAAAAAAAACTCCATCAGATTCTATCGTCAAATAGTTCTCTTAATGGGTTTCTATACTTTTGAACGGGAACAATCACAGTTGCACTCAGGAACGAGCTTTCGTTGGCGTTTCTTGTTATTAATTCAATATTTCATTTTCTCGTTTACTGTTCTGCGATCTGCCAAAAGATGGGCTCATTGACAATTCTCTGCAGGGATGGG